TTTTTCGGCCAGCTAGAGGCTCCTGATGCCAAACCCCAGCAAAGCAACTGGGAGGGCTGCCCAGGGCTCCTGGTTGTTCTTCCCGAATGATTTTTTTTTTTTTTTTTCCTCTCCCACATCTCGCTAACAGGCTCGTGCCTGCGGCCCCCGCTGCCCCGGCAGCAGAGCCTCAGCCAGGCTGCAGAGCCAAGGGAAAAGTGAGATATTGCCTTGCTGCGGCATTTCACAAATAAAGGGAATTTTAGGTCCATATTTAACATGTCTTTTGGCTGCCATTTCCACGTGAATCTGTTTCTAATGAAGAGGCGTTTCCACACGCGAAACCTTGGTTTGACTCTCCCAACAGGAACAGTAATTCACACTGGCGGAGTCTGCTTTTTTCCCGTGTTTTTCTGGTATGGAGGACACTCAAATATGGATGTTCGGGACGTGTTCAATAAGACCAAACAATTACGGTGAAATAGTTCCCTCCTAACACAAAATTATTGCCCTTTTGAAGGCAACATGCCTGAAGAGGCGTATTTGAACTTAGCTCCTACCCGGCCGCCGGTTAGCAAGGTCTGTTTTGTGAAGGGCAAAGCGATCCCACACCATTGTGGAGGTAGAAGCCAGATTTTTACGAGGGCAGAAGTGCAGCCGTCTTCCCGCAGGCACCCAAGAGAGCCCCACAGCTCCAGCCCCAGGACGAAAGCCGCCCCGACCTGGGCGCACATTTCTCGTTTCATGACACATTTCTCACAGCATGGCCATTGCTGTGGCAGTGCCCAGCACAGGTAAACACGCTGCCTCTCTTTCTTTGGAAAAGAAGAGGCGCAGAAAGGAGCTCCCAGAGCAGCGAGGTGCACACCTAGCCACAGCAGACCGAGGCACCACCTCCGAGTCCTGCGAAATCTTAGTCTCAGCCCCTGCGCTGAGGGCTGACGCACTGCGGAAAATAAAAGGCTCTTCATTCAGTAGCATCGCCCTAATAAAAAAAATGCAACTACAATGATGCAAGCCAGAAAAAAAGCGAAGCAGAACAAATAAAAGCAACAAATAAAACCTTCTTTCTTATTCCTCCCTGGAATATTATTAAGTCCCACTACAGCCCTTGAGAAATGGACTCTTTATTCTTTATTCCGTCCTTCACCATCCTAACCCGCCCCAGTGCATCTATTTCCCTTATTACATGCCTGATGCGAAATCCGAAGAGAAACTTTGTATGAAAAGAGATAGGGAAGGCAACATTTTATTTATTAAACGCATCTGATTTACGATGATAGACGGTCGCGAAGTCTCTAGCCGAAAGGAGCAAATAGGTTACTAAAAAGAGAAAGAAAGAAAAAAGGATCTGAAAAACACGATGCTGCAGATGCATGTGCCTTCGGTGTCCCTGCATGTGCCTGCACACAGGCTGCACATTTCCGGACATGCAGGCATGCGGCTCTGCGGGCACTTGCTATGCACACACATGTGCCGAGGCAGCTCTGCGTGGCTTCATGCGCGCGCATACTTGAGGTTTCTGCTGTTGAGCGAAGCTGTGAGCGGCCACAGTCATTGTGGGCATGTTGCGAGGTGCACATACATGTACACAGCACACACGCACGCCCGCACGCAGCCACATCTATGTGCGGCACACACAGGCGTGTGTAGGCATGGAAGATGTGCACGACGACTGTATCCTGGGGATGCTACCCCCTTTGGATGGATGATTTCTGTGTCTTTCCACCCCTCTCCCCGCCCTCCCCCTGCTCTGTGGGTGCATGCGTGTGCGGGCACCCTGGTGCTGCATCATGCGTGTCCCTGTCCTCCGCAGCAGCCGGGCGAGCATCTCCTCCTTCATTTAGTCAGACACAAACATCTTTGCATTCCACCCGCAGTCTGAGCGTGATGAGCCCCTTCCAAGGGGGGTCTCCATTCCCGCTAGTTTGATAAGGCTGGAAACGCAACTCTGATTGTTTGAAATGGCTCTGGATGCCTTTGTGCTTCCTAAAAGAGCATAAATAATTAAAGTTTGGCAGGGAGGAAAAGCTTTCTTGCAGAACTGTAGTGGCAATAAATGAAATGACTCAGAATCTCTTCTCCAGTCAGTTTTTACGAGAGCTGCCAGACAGTGTCTGTTCACGTTCTCCAGATACTAGGGGCGCCATAACAAAGTTAAGGTCAAGTTAGTGTCTTATCTTGGGTGGCACAAAAATACCGCATCTTCTGCAGCCGGATTGGGTATATTTTTAAATCCGAATGTTACACGAGTCGTCTGAATTTTCACGGAGGACTTCTGGAAATGTCTCTCGGACTAGAATACTTGCTATTTCCAGGCAACGACTGCAGATGTTTGAAGACGCCCAACGGTAAAGTATTCGCCTGAATCTGTACGTGATGTGCGTTTATGTTTCGATGCTATTTATTCTGTTTAAGACAGCAACTGGAAAAAAAAGGTGTGTGTGTGTGTGTAATGCTCAGAGCTGGGCTAGACCCCAGGGTGAAAAAGCTCTGGCAGGAAGGACCCCCAAGTCTGCTTGGTTCCAGCGGGTCCTCTGCGGCGATATTTGACTCACGTTGCTCAAATTAGGTTGCTTTTTAAGAGCCTGCTTCCTAAAAGGGCTGTTTTCGTATTAACAAATAGTCGCCATGTCTTTGAACTTGAATTAGTTGAAACCGCTTGGCTCCTGCGCCAATATTTAATTCATGGTGGGGTTTGCTGGATCGAAAGGAAGGTGAAGGATTCGGGCTAAGGCGTAAATAGTTGCTTGAACGAGTGGGGAAATGAAGCCCCGGAGTTTCCCAGAGCCATCTCTCACTATGAGCTTTAGCAAGCATAAACACGAGGGCACAACGGAGCGGACCCTGCTCTGCTCTGCTGAGAGCACAGGGTGGTAAGTGACACAGGAGCCATTTTAGCTGCGCAGGCATCGTTTTTAGGAGGTTGTTCATGTGCTGCGACGGATTCGAATAGGCTCGAAAGTTGCCGATAAAAGGAGGAAATGGTGGTTTTGTGTGTCTTGGTTTCTGGGGATACCTTGCCTATCTGCTGGGAGTCATTTGTGGCATTGGTGGTGATTTGCAAGTGAGGGAATGGAAAAAAATATTGAAAAAAAAAGGAAAATGATTGAAAGGAAGCAGGACTAAGCTTAATATTCTCTGCCTGTTTTTGCACATTTGTCTGGTCTTTCAGTGTTTTGGAAGGGCACAGTGGGCTCCTCTCAGCAGCTCTTGGCAGCCCTTGGATGTTGGAGCGACAAGGATGCTCGAGGGGCAGTGGTGGTGGCCGTGGCGGTGACGATGGCCGGGGTGGCGGCGATGGCCGTGGCGGTGGCCGTGGCGGTGGCTGTGGCTGGGGGGTGGCGGTGGCCGTGGCGATGGCTGCCGCCCCTCGTCGTGCATCGTGGCGCCGGGGCGCGCAGCGGGGAGCCCCCGCTTAGCCCCGCGGCCGTTGCCGACCCCTGACAAAGCCCAGGATTATCCTGGCCTTCCCTCCTGCCCGGGTGTCCATGGTGCTTTCTCACCGGCTCCCTACCTGCCGGGCTCCCTGCTTGCTGGGGGACCTTTTTGGCAAAGCATCTGTGGCCTGATGTGAGGCCGGAGCGCCCCGGTGAGCACCGGGTGGCCGTGCTTGGTGTGGGGAGCACGGACAGGTTTCGGGTCGATTTGGAGACCAGCATATGGCGAGGCTCCTCTGGCTGTTAAGCACCGTGGAGCGGGGGAAGCATTCCCATAGAGAGCTGGCAAACGATTCTGGAATGAGGAATTGCTCGAGCATAGAGCTATTGCCGGAGCGTATTATTTGTTCTCTTTTCTTTGCAGCCTTTGTGACTCGGTTTGTGCTCATCTGTGTAAAATAATATTTCAAGGAGAAAAGGAAAACTGACCAAAATGAGACCTGACCAAAATGGACAGGGCGGTTGTGGGATTTGCGGGGCTTGTGTGTGTCGCCTGCTCCCAGCCCTGCTTTTCCCTTCCAATGAAAGCGAACATTTTGGTGGGAGTTGGAGGCACGGGAACAGAGGTCACTTTGTCTGCTGCTCTGCTTCCCAAGGAAACCGTGCCTTGTGGACTTCTTTTCCTCTCCTAGTTCTTTTCTTTCCAGAAGTGCCCGAAAATATTTCTTTTTT